ATATCTCAATGCTCGGAGCCTGGACATCCTTCGGAAGGACACGGGTACCGGGGTGGACTATCGCGGCAGTCTCTCCCCTTGCGGGGTCTGCCAGATCGCGAAACACAAGCAGTTCCCCCACCCGAAGCAATCAGCTCGCGAACTATCACGGCCTGGACAACTTGTGGTCATCGACAACATGGGGCCTGTTAATCCACCTGCGAAATACAAAGGAGGCTACTTCCGGTACGCGTGCAAGATCACCGACGACTACACGAAGATGAAAGAAGTGTACCTGCTTCGTAAGAAATCTGACACGACCGAGGCGGTGCACACGTACAACATGTGCGTCGCAGCGGCAGGAGGCTACCGGATCGAGACCATCCGCTACGACAAGGGACGCGAAAACACCGGATCCGAATTTCGAAACTACTTCAAGAATTCAGCTATCAAGCTCGAATACGCCGCCGCCAACACCCCTCAACAAATTGGTGTATCGGAATGGGCCGGACAAACCCTGACCGGAGTCACCCGGTGTCTTCTGAAGGATGGAGATTTTCCGCCGTCCATGTGGAGGGAGTCAATGCTGACTGCAGGATACCTGTTGAACAGGTCCCCACACTCAGCACTGGGGGGAGCTACGCCATACTCGAAGTTGCACAATATGTCACCTGATCTCTTGGGACTTCGGGTCATTGGAGCGCGCGCCTTCGTACACTACGAGCGATACCGAAAGAAGCTGGACGACAGTGCTTTCGAAGGCAAGCTATGTGGTTTCGGCACCTACCGGGTATTCAATCCATCCAACGGGGCCGTGGTCGAGAGCCGGAATGTGACGTTCATCGAATCTCCACCCCGGTCAGTTCCATTTCAGCATTCCACAGAAGCAAACGGGTACGAGAGCGACGTGCTGAGCTTCACCTCCCTGCTGGACAGCCCCCACTCGACGAGCGACCTGGACGTCCCGGCGCAGAACGAACTCCTTCGGCAACAAGTTCGGAAGATACAGCAAGACAATCTCGCTCGGGAGGAGCTTTGCCTAGAACTGGACGGGAACGAGGACGAACATGGAAACGGGCAAGATCTCAGCGACGGGGCCGCCCCATCACCGCATCACTCATCGACGCCAGCTGGACCGTCATCCGAAACCCACACTTCTAGCCCCAGCCCATCATCGTCGAATCCGTCTGAACCGGACACTTCTGCATCAACTGGATCCTTCGGCATGCGGCGCCTGCAAGTCACCAGAGCTAGCTAGCACATGCGGGAAGCCCACCAGCGACGATCAGATCGACGTCAACTTGGTTCCTGCCGATCTGCAAGTCGCCATGAACGACCGCGGTCGAGCCCATGCTGCAACCGGCCGCGTGGAGCCATCCGGTATTTCCTTCACTCAGCTGGTTGAGATAGCCGATCAAGCCCAGCTCCCATGCGCTGGCAATACTGAGGATTTTGCCCACGCGGCGGAATACCCCTTCACGGTGCGGCGTGCTCACGCCTACGTCACGACCACTCACGACCACCACGGGATCTTGGAGGAGACAAATCAAGCGATCAAAATCCCCAACTCCTACGACGAAGCCATGAGCTCTCCCCAGCGCGAAGAANGGTGGCGGAAGGCCCCTTCACGGTACCGCGTGCTCACGCCTACGTCACGACCACTCACGACCACCACGGGATCTTGGAGGAGACGAATCAAGCGATCGAAATCCCCAACACCTACGACGAGTTCATGAGCTCTCCCCAGCGCGAAGAATGGAAAGGGGCGTGCAGCAAGGAAATGAACAATCTGCGGAAACACATCGTCTACAATCTGGTGCCCCTCAGTAGCGTTCCCAAGGGAGAGAATATCCTAGCAACGAAATTCGTCTTGAAGAAAAAGCTGGACGGACGCTTCAAAGCTCGCCTGGTAGTCGGAGGACATCGTCAAGAGCCAGGACAGGATTACGGACGCAGCTACGCCCCAGTATGCCGTATCGGGAGCATTCGCATGACCTGCGCCATTGGCTGCCACAACAACTGGCTCATCTACCAAC